GAGAGAGAGAGAGAGAGACCTAACAATTTTTATGGCTATGATAATTTTTTAGGTGAAACGATTTATAAATCGGACAATCGTAAATTGCGGTGAGGCAATCATTACGTTTTGTCCGCGCGGACAAAATCCGTAATTTTCCGCTCGACGTCGACGAGCGCTAACGTGCTAATAGCGTTTTTCGTTTGTCAAAGCGAATGTTTGGACTCGGAGCCGAACACGAAATCGACGAGGTCTAACGGTGGCTTTAGCTTTTGCCTCGCGCGTTTTAATGCCATTTTCACGAGTAAAATCTCTGTCACGCGTACGTGAAAATGTTATCGCTGCCACATCACGCCACTTTCACGACACGTAAAAATAACGAAACGTCTACGCGCAAATACGTTCGTTTCGTTATTAACGTTTTTTTTTTTTTTTTTTTTTTTATCTCTCTATGCGGCGTTGCATAAGCGCCGACGGTTCTTATTTACACGGCCAAAGGTGAAGATGTCTTTCATCGGCGTGCGGCATATAATCTACTATCGATCTAAGAGAAGACGAGGATATTTTTTGTGTGTGGACACTTCGCATTTTTCTTTCGTGCAAAAAATCGTTTCGTTCAGCTGGACCAAGCTTATTATCGGACATTTCCCCAGGATTAATGTCTCTTTTTGCCAACGTAGATTAGAACTTTGATATTGGTTTAATTTACTCTTTATTTTTTTCTCTAATTTTTGTCTATATCTATTTCCATCAACATAAATTAACTTTAGTCTAAGTTTAATTTATTCTTCAGCTTTCTTTAATTTTAATATCCATCTCTAATGTAGATTAACTTTAATCTTGGTTTAATTTATTCTTCATCTTTCTCTAATTTTTGTGATCATTTTTACCAATAGATTAACTTTAATCTCAGTTTAAGTTGTTCTTCATCTAATTTTTGTGTTTATTTTTACCAATATAGATTAACTTTAATCTCGGTTTATCTACTCTTTATTTTTTTGCAATTTTTAGAATTAGAAAAGAAAAAAGCAGAGATTAAAGTTAATCTATATTAGTAGATATGGTCACAAAAATTGAAAAAAAAAGATGAAGAGTAAATTAAACCAAGATTAAAATTAATTTACACTGGTAGGAATGGACATAAAAATTAAAAAAAAGATAGTTAATTAATCCAAGATTGAAATTAATCTACATTGATGGACATAAGTATAATTGACATGATCAATTACAATTATTTTAAAATATTCAAATAAATAGAACCAAGATAAATATCATCGACTCATCTAGCTATTTCTATAAATCTTAATAAATTTTATTTGTTTATATAACGATTTTTTTATCTTTACCGTATAGAAGGACGCACCGGTTAACAAAACTTGGACATTTACGCGATTAGAAAAAAGATATACTTTTGTTCCTTCTTATAGATCGTAGTATTTACTTGCGTTACGCGACCCCGAAGAGCGATCGCATCGCGGAAACTGCTGGAATCGTCGTGTGTCTTTTGAAATCAGTATAAAAAAAAGATGTGAGCCGAATACGACTAATTCGTGAAATAAAAAAATATCAAGAATCGAAATTATAACGCGCCGTGTTAATCGAGCGTCGAAAGCGGTGAAAGGAAGAAAGGTAGAAAGTACCAGAGCTGCGTCCAGAGCGGAGGTCTCACACTGTCTGTTTTTCGTTGCAGAGTTCAGCATTCTTCTACCTTGCGCCGGCAATTCGGGCATAGCGCAATTCGGGATCGGTCTGATGATCGAGTCCCGCAAGGGGAAACCTCTAAACGGGACGCCCCTCCGTCTCCGTTTGAGGAAAGAATGCACCGTGCGCGGTGAGTGGTCAGTCAGTCGCGCCCACGATCACCACCTCTTCACTCGCACATACAGTTCTGTATCAGCAGTAATTCATCGCCTAATTTGCTGCATGCTCTTGATCGATTGCAATCGGAGAGGCAATCGGAATCGGAGCGCCCCCGGCGCTCTCCCCCCGATTATATTACCTTCCCTCGCCCCCTTCGCCGCTCGCGAGGATGTTGCATCGCGTCGCGTCGCGTCGCGTAAAAAAAACGCGCGCACGAAAATCCGGTTCGCGCGTAGGTTCATTCGTTCATTCCGACTGCCTCTCCTCTGTTTTATTTAATCGAAAGTCGTGGCATGCACCTGACGCGCGTGAGAGCGCACGTTTTGATATTTTATAAGAGAAAGATTATCTACCTCTCTACCTGCCCCCCCTCCCCCCGCCTGCCGGCCGGAACGATGGGTCCGATAATTGTGCGAGGGAGGCGCGTCGAATCTCTCCATCGCTCTATGGCGTCCGGGAGATTTATGGGTGTTACGTCGTTAAACGGTTGCTCCGAGCCTCGATCAACGCGACGAGATCACGACACAAACGAGGAGTGCTGCGTTTGTCAAAGTGTCAAAGGGAGTAGCGAATCGATTAACTTTCGTCTTGGACCCTTTCCCAACGACCTCGTGAAATTTCGATGCGGCTAATTTTACGCGTTTCTTGTCTCGCATTACAAGAGGGTGCATCTCGAAGCGCCTTGGAACATCGGTTACGGTGGAAGTCGAAAGAAAATGGAAAATTCCTTTGAGTGATGTCTCTCAAAATCTTTTTAGATATTTATGAACACGTGATCTCGATTTGTCTCGATAACTTTTTACCTTGCATTCATTTATGCTACTGTGAATAAAAAAAAAATAAGAAAGCGAGAGATCTAATAAAATTTGCATCAACGGTCAAAAAAATATGCTGGTTCAGTTGAAATTCTAAAATTATAATTAAAATATATCACTGTTTTTTATATATCTACTAGTAAATTACCTGTTATACGTAGAATTTATAGCAATAACATCTAACAAAGATAATGAAAATTTAGATCTCATAACTAAATCACACAGTCACTTTCATAAGAGGTGTGAGTGGCTATTTTATTGGGCGCTATAGAGATTTTTTTTTGCTAAATTTGACAAATTGTTGTGATAAATTCATCTATACTGATTAGATACAAAACATATGCAATATCGTATTATACATCCCATTCGCATCGAAATATCTTGTAAAGTATAAAAGATACGAGAAAATGTTTTTTAATATTTTTATGCACAGAATGATGAGATGTATCAATTAGTATAAAGAAAACATAGTTGTTGTTTTAAAAAAAAAAATGAAGATTTGCAATATGCGACGACATAACTTTTTTGAAAAACAACTATGTATTTTTTTACACCAATTGATTCATCTCATTATTCTGTGCATAAAAATATTAAGAAATAATTGCCAAAAAATGAATAGTTTACGAGATATTTTACGTCACGTTGCATATCAAATTCAAGCCTCATAACTCAGAAAGAATTTATTAAAAAAAATACTTTATTATAGTGTTTTGCAGAACTCTCGAGGTCAGCTACAAGAATATGCAATAAAAAAAATGAGGGTTTCCATTTAAAAAAGCAAAATTGACCTCTATATGATTTTGGAACGTCCATCCAAGATCAAAACAATGGTATCATCTTACATCTTCCTCGAAATCATAAAATTTATGTCTGAAACATTTTCCTGTATCTTTTATACTTTATGAGATATTTCGATGCAAAAGTTATGGAACAACCTGTATAATTTTTCATACATCTACATTAAGAAAAGAATACTTTTGCAGTTATAGCAAAAATTATCTAGATATCAGAAAAATCAGATACTAAAATGAATAAATGATTAGCAAGTACTATGATATCGCACTATATTTTGTACCTAATCAATAGCTATAGATATAAATGACAGAGACCGAATACGTACCTAAACAATTTATCAAATTTAATAAAAAGTCCCTTTGTGACGCCCAGTCAGATAATAGTCTCTTAAAAGTGACTATGTGATTCGATTATGAGACTTAAATTTTTCTTTGCATATACTGTCAGATGTTACTGCTATAAATTCTATGCACGATAGACAATTTTCGATAGGCAAATAGAAAAAACAGGGGATACATTTTAAATGTAACATTTAGAATTCTAGTTAGAACATTTTTTTGAGCGTAGATAATTTTCTTTATGACTACAAGATCGTTTCTTTTTCAGTGAATATTCGCAATGTCGTCTCGACGATCTCGCCAATCTCGCGATTTTGGACCCATCGCCACTCGCAAGGTGGAGACGTGGACTGCTTTTGTGGAGCTTACTTTTTCCGTAACGAAAAGCATTCTCGTTCAGAGCTAGATTCTATTAATGCTTAGTACAGAGTACAACTGTCCACTCGTAATTATGTTATGTTAATTATAACTAGCAAAGTGTTGAGCAATGTTCATCGCTCTGTTTGCTGTCTCAGATGTGTTAAATGAAGCAAGCGCCACTGAGACGAGCAAGGATCGGGAACGACGGTAATTTCGACGAGATTAATTTCCGACTTCGTTGCTTGCATGCCAGGAAGGATCTTATCCGCCGGATATCGCGTTTTTTCTATTTATTCGCAAATAAGGATCATTATCATATTTTTAAATGTGAACTCAATGGAATCACATCGATGCCGATCCTTGCTGTCAAAAAATATTCGCAAGGGTTAATCGTTATTATTTTTGACGTTTAAAGAATACTCGCTTTAGCTTGTGTTTATTTTTTTACTCAAACGTTATATCGCATCGATTTTTTTTTTTTTTTTCATTTTGTATGCTTGCATTTTTCTATATTAGCATCCATTATTTTGTTGTCTTGCCTGGCACTTTGTTTATTAAGCGTTAGCCAGTTCTACGCTTCCTCAAGTTATTGTTCGCCCGCGAATTATGAATTAAGTGCCTAATTGCCTACCTTAATGCAAAAGAAGAACGCTCGAGTCTGCTCTGCCTTCTCGGCGTTATTTTCAGCTCTCTCAAGCTGTGTGCATTCAAGTTGCCATCATCAAATCAAGTATGTGTTTACTCGCCATTTAAGTATTTTACATATGTAAACGTTCGATAATAACGTTCGAGGGCTGAAAGGATTATTTAGCATGTACAATCGGTCGGATTGATTATACAAAGAAAAAAAAGACTAGCAAATAACGATCCACGTAACACGTAATTGTGTTTTCATCTACTCGAATTCAGATGGGCGTAGCGAAATACGACGCTCTCGAACGCTTGGTATAATCGTCTCTGCGCGATAATACATCAACGATAATTCGTAGCACAGCAAGTCGGATGTGCGAAATGTGAAATAATTAAGCACGTTTAAACACTAGCTTTTTCTTTCGTTTAGGAGTAAAATTCGATCAAAAAAGAGTCACGATTTGCCATATGCCATGGAAATGAGAAATATATACACAAAAGAATACTCCAAAAATTAATAATATTTTTCCATATTATTTTTAAAAAATTAAAAAATATATCATACATATTAAAATATTTACGAAGAAATTTATTGTGGATTAAAATTACTAGTATATTTCTTAATGTTAATAATTATCTCATATCTTTTCACGCATTTATTTAGTATAATGTTTCGCTATATGTAAATCAAGATTTTAATTCTCCTCTTCATGTCGTATTAATCTCAATTCCTTGGCTTATTATATGATTTTTTAAAATTAAATCTGCATGAGATTGCATGCTTTATAATACAATGTTATCTTGTCGGATTAATTACGAGATGTTCGGTTCTGTTACCGAAATATTCCTCGTTTTTAATCGCATACGAAGATAATTATTATGCGTGTGTGATAAGTGTGTACAAACATCACGGTAATATGCCTTCTTTTAACTGAATTTTATTTTTACAGAACCTAATCCTGGTCCCTGTCCGGATGGTTATCTAGGGCCTCATTGTAAAAAAGCACTTTGTTATCCGAATTGCATGAACGGCGGTAATTGCACGGCGCCAGGTGTGTGCTCGTGTCCGCCAGGATATCAAGGCCCTTATTGCGAAGGAGGTATTATTGCTTACATAAATATATGAGGAAAGTTCTAAAAATTAAGTAGTTGGAAAAATACATTTAAAATTTATGTTAATTTCGCAAGATATATATATATATATATATATATGAAATTGAAACTTGTCATTATTCTTTCGTAAATCTCGCAGCAGATTCAAACGTTCAAATGTGTATAATGTTTAAGATTTATATAAAAATTTATATTCAAATTGTTAAATCAATTTTATATCTCTTCTTAATCTGAGAAATTATCTCGCATGGTAGGTGTTCTTTCTAAAAATGTGAATAAAAAATAAAGATTTTTTAAGCTATTCTCTCAATAATTTCAAAGAAATTTTCTCTTATATTATATAAAACTGCACTGTTATGTAAAAAAAATCTAATGACCTTGAGAAATGAACATTGCAACATGTTTTCGACGAATAGTCTGTCAGTTTTTGCATAATTTAAATAATGTAATATTGTCAATATTACTTCATTTTTATACTCAACAAGCAAGTATCCTTTTATATTTCTTTTCAGAATACAATTGTTCTTACTTACCTAGTCTATAATTTCCATTTTTTTTTTTTAATCGAGAAAATCATCTATGTTAGGAAAATATTTTCCCTAGATTAAATGAAAAATAAACAAAATTGATTCAATAACTTGAGCATAAATTTTTATACATTTTTATACTTTGAGATTGATGTTGCATTGAAATAAATGTTTAAATCTATAGAAAAATTATATGTAGAAGTTAATACTAGGCTTTATTTTTTTAATATGCATATTTACATTTTGAAAATTAAAATCATTTTTAATTTATTCATTTTTATGTCTGACTTTTGGAACTTTTCTCGTACTACTTACACAAATCAGCTTTTAGAATATTTTACTAGTTTTTTTAAATTTTTCATTTATTTTTTTAACTCTAAGTTACTCTTAGATATTATAATTTCTTTTATGAAATAAGTTTATAAAAAAAAGTTAAATAAGTTTATAAAAAAAAAACAAAAGAATTATAGCGAAGAAAAATCGATTATACAAAGTGATCGATAATAATCATATCATTTCTCGTGAGCAAATAGAGTGAATTATATTGAATGGAATTCAAATATCTTACCTTATCGGCAAGATGTTTGAATATAATCTACAAATGATAGAGCATCCGTTCATAATACACATCTTTGAACATCTTATCGCACGCCTAACGACCGTGAATGTGCATAAACGCTAAACTATTTCTTCGCGCGAAGCTCGCTCAGTCATTGATCTGTATAAATTAATAACTCTTTAATTATATTCCGAAAATCACAAAATGATTATGACTTTTCTATAGACAAGTACAATCCGTTGTACTTGTCTATGAGAAATGATATGATTATTATCGGCCCTATATATTCATACAAAAAAATTTCAATCCACTGATTGAAAAAAAGCTAAACTCGGAACTTCTTATATACTTATATATATTTATCCGTTTCGCGTGAAAAATGATTTATCATAAAATTTATATAAATGATATATAGATATATTAATTTATTATATGCTTTATATAAATTTTGTGATAAATTATGTATAATAAATTAATTGTAATAAATTAATAAATTGTATAATAAATTAATATATATTTCCTACATGTTAATATCTATCTTTAACATCTTCAATACTAAAGTCTAAATGTTCTCTCTAATATTCGAAGACACGTTTATATCACTTTAGAGATGGAGATAGCTATCTTACAGCCACATTTGATTACATTCGTCAGAGCTTCGTAGAGCGGCGTTTGCTCGGCGCCGTGATCTATGCCCAAATCGTGATGCTCCTGCTCCTCGTCGCGAAACTTCTTAATGGTCTCGAGTATCTCTTCGTCCACCTTCTCGTTGTTTTCCATCAGTGTGCGCAATTGATCGTTGTAATGCTCGACAATTACAGTTTCTACCGCCACGGTGCACGCCATCGCCGCTTTCTCGCCCATGAGAGCGGTACCGACACCCAAGGCGAATCCGGCAATGTTCCATAGCGGGGTAAGAACAGTGGGTCTGACCCGGTACTTGCGTATCAGCTCCTCGAATTTAGCGCGGTGCCGCTTTTCCTGATCCCACATGTGCCGTATGGTCGGACCAACTGCTGTCCTACCTACCGTTTTTCGCAGAAAAGCTTAAACTATCCGCAGAAATCTTAAACTACGTCTATATCCGCGTGTGTTTGAGCAATTATACTTAGCACAGCCATCTGCCCGGCGTATATCCTGTCTGCTCCCAATTCACCGGCATGATCGACTCTTATTATCGAGTCCAGAACTTTTCCAGACGCGCTTGTGGCTGCTGATGTGCTGGCTAGTCGTACTCCCAGTCCTCCGGCACGCAACATCTATAAAATTTGAAAAGTGCGAAATTTCTGTCGAGAATCTTTATTATCCAGACTGACTAAATCGAACGATTTTATAGGTATCTGCGTGGAAAAATGTTTGAACGGAGGAAAGTGCATCCAGAAGGATGTTTGCGAATGTCCAAAGGGCTATTTTGGCTTGCGCTGCGAATTCTGTAAGTATAAGCGATGTGTATCAAAGAAATGCCTCGTTATCGTTAAATCACAAATTTCTGCCCTTTTCAGCCAAATGCGTTATTCCTTGTCTCAATGGGGGCAAATGCAAGGGCAACAATATCTGCAGGTGTCTGAACGGATACAAAGGCAATCATTGCGAAATTGGTACACGCATAACGTCGCAACGCTCGACGTCATGTAGCCGGCCATGCAGACACGGGACCTGTCAAGGCGACACGTGTCTCTGCGAGAAGGGTTGGTACGGAAAGTTTTGCCACAAAAACAAGCCGTGGGCTTAGGAATCAATTAAGTGTACCAACTGGATTTTTTTAAAAACATCATTCTAAAATTCCAACGGAATCATGGCAGATTGTTTCATCTGTGTATCTTGAATTGTATGGAGAAACAAAAGTTTATGCGTTCGAAGAGAAAGAATCTCGTGATATTAAAATAATTCAAAGATTTTTAGCATTTTTGTTTTTATTTAGTGCGGCGATAATGAGAGAAACATAAAAGGTTTCATAAGATTCAGATCCAAATCTCGATTGGTAACCAATGTGATGTAAAATTTATAGTTTCTAATTTACTTTGCCCAGATGTGATATGTAAAGAGCTGCTTTATGCCATTTTATAACATTATTATATTTAGTTATTAATACTTTTGTACTGTAGTTGTAACAATTGTAAAAACAAAAAATAGGAACAAAATAGGTATTTTTCTGTAATGGTGCTTGGTTATGCTTTAGAAAGCATGACCAAGAAATAATTCAGCATTGTAGTGTATCTGTGATGGACTTTTTTGCTATTATACTGTCTCTTTCTGTGTACATCTTAAAATATAGGTAAATAAATATGGTTTTATTGACAAATCCGTGAACAAAATGAATATTGATTTGACAATTTTTAGCGTTTAAATGAAATATTTATTTTACAGATGGCATGGGTCTAATTTTCAGGTACACAATTTTGAAATGCATGCAATTATGAATCAATATTCTAATGAAAACAATTTCAATTCTCTATTATATCAGGATATACAAACTTGAAAAAAAATTCTCTGATTTTCAAGGGAAGGAAAATTTCCTAATTTGTTAAAACTTTAAAATGAAAGCATTTTTAAATATATTTTAAATAAATATAATAATTTATATATAATATGTAATAAAATTTATATATAATAATTTTAAATTAAATTTGTCATACAAATTTCTTAATATTTTCCATACATAAAAATTTATAAATTATAAAACAAAAATTAAGAATCACTTGTGTTTCAATAACTAAATTTGAAAAATTTTGAAAGAAATTATAAGGAGTCTAGAAAATAAATATTGCATACAATTTTTAAACTATTTTCAAAAAACAAACAAAGTATTTTATAATACATAATGTCAAATTCAATTTTTATAAAACTATTAAAATAAATATCCATCTACATTAAATAAAATTGCACTTGATACAAAATCGTCTACAATATTGAATATTGGATTAATTGTAAAATCAGTATGCTCTGAAGTTTATTGGATGTTTATTGGATGTTTAATGGATAGCTCCAATATTATCGTTAACAATTTAATGGGTAAAGTCTCAATTAATAATATAAAAACAAAATATGAGAAAAAATTCTCTGAAAATTCCTTGATTTTTAAACCATAACGAATTCCTTGAGAATTTCAAATTTTTCCAAGTAGACACCTTGCATATAAGCATGTTTTTTAAACAATTTTAATAACAGAAATTTGATATTTCATTTTCACATATTGTACACAACAAAAATTGAAAGAAAAAGATACAGCAGAGTTAACAATATTTTGAGCTTACATTTGTTAAGATCAAAACAGTAACATAAAGCAAGTTTTTAAAATGCAGAAAGAAATCTTTATTAAACAAAAAATCTTTATTATTATTAAAAATCTTATACTGCAATATCATTGAATAAAAAAACATTGTGTTAAACAAGAGAAAAAACAATTCATAATTTTATCTAACTTATCCACTTTATTAATAAAGTATCATTAGTCAGTTTTTATTTCAGTTAATTAGAATTTTAATTAAACTCTTTTACAAGTTATATTCATTCTATCAAGTGAACTTTAATTCTGATTTAATTTATTTTTTAAACTTTAAATTGTCATTTCTATCAATGTAGAATAGCTTTAATCTATTTTTCATTTTGTTTTAGTCTTAAAAATTAGAAAAAGACAAGAAATTAAACTGAGAAAAAAATTAAAATTATTTTACATTGAGATAAAAATAAGATAAACATTAAAAAAAAAGAAATAAAGAGTAAATCCAGATGAAAAATTATAGATATTAGTAGAAGTGAATATTACTCCAGTATTATCACTACATTCAATGTGTCTTCATTGTATACATTTTACAGTGAAAGTCCAAATTACACCGTCACATTCCTCGATAGCATCAGAGCCGAGTCGTAGAGAAGCGATTGGTACAAACACAACATGGCATGAAACGCGATATTTTTTTTAATATTTTCGCAAACGGCGAAGAGAGCAACAGCAAAAACACAAATCGCACCTTCGCGTGAGATCTTCACTGGGAACTGGGATCCGTCAACGAGCGGCGATTATCTCAGACGAGAGGGATACGAGGGATGCCAAAATGTGACGGACGGACACTCGCACGAATGGCAGGTTATGGTCGTCCGACATTACGTCGAACCGCGCGCGAAGGCGGCAGTCACGTGTCACGGCGACCAATGGCGGCGGGTGTACGCGAGTCCGCCATGACGCGTGCCCCAGCGATTCCCGCCAATCGCGCTATACCAAAGCGCGTATATATGTATATGGCGTTGGCGTTCTCTCGGATCGGGTGCTGTCGTTGTTCGGATTTCTACGAGGAAAGGGTGAGTGCTGGCGCGATAGCCGCGCGAACGCGGCGCCAAAGCGAGCGGTGCACGGCGTCGGCCGCGCACGGCGTCCGCGCCGTCCGCGAAAATCGCGGAATTTCGCATCGTCTGCTCGGGCGGGCGTGCATCGCGCAGGCTCGCCCAAGATGGCCGGTGCCCCGTGTCCGCGTTCTGTTGTTGTGGTGGTGGTGGTGGTGATGGAGGCCCGCTCGCGGTGCCGATCGATACGCCCGCCGTCGTCGCCGCCGCCGCCAAATACCGGCCATGGCGGCTACCGTTGTCGCGCGTCACGCGTCCTGAGGTAAAACGCGAGGACTCTCGTCGAGTGGCGTCTCGCGCGTCCGCCGCCGCACCGCCGACCGGCCGCCACGGTGATGATAAGCGCGGGCGCGACCGCGTGCGCGGGGCGTGGTGCGAGAGCGTAGCCGAGGCGGCTGGCCTCCCCGCAGACGCGAAGAGCCCTGCGAGCCCTCCCTTGATCCACTCCGCGGGAACACACCAAGGTGCGTACGCAACTCGCGATTTTCACTGGGCCTGCTCCATCGCGGCTCCGCGTTACCGAGCAGTCGTCGTGAGCTGCTCTCCGGCTACCCGGAGGTGGTCTCTTTTGCGTGTGCCCTGCGCATTTTCATTGCCCCCCCAAAGTATCGGCCCGAATAAACGCGCATATCCCCCGTCTCCCTCTCCGCCTCGTTCCGTGTATACACACTGTGTGTGCCGTCCCGTTCTCTTCTCTTTCTTTCTCTCCGTCCTTTCCGTCTCTCCTCGCCACTTACGCGCGCGTTCTTTATCGCGCGTCGTCTTGTTGTGTCGTCTGGTCGTCAGTTTGTCAACTTTGCGATCGGCCGCGACGATGCGACCAGGAGCTGGACGAGAGCCTCGACGCCAGCCACTACCATCGCCGTCGCCGTCGCCGTCGCCGTCGCCGCTGCCGCGTCTGCTGCCGTTGCTGCTGTGATCAATTATGTTCGCGGTGGTATGCCGTGCCGGCGACGCGCTCCTTCTCGTCCGCGTGGATTTACGCGCGTCACGTACAATCCAGCGGACATCGGGAGAAGAATGCGTGCGAGCCGCGGAAATCTTCCACGCGGGAGGCGATCCGTCGCCCGCGGGCACACGCCGTCGTCCGTCGCTCGTCAGTTGTGCGAAATGTACATACCCTGATTTACTTCTTACCGCGTTTTTCCACCTTCCTCGGAAGGGAAACATGTGCTTTTGTTTCTCTTTTTTTTTCTTCTTCCGAGCGCTCCGCTTCCGGGCAAGCGACGCGGAACGTAAACATGGGGAAACACCAGGGAAAATGTTGATAATATTTTGTAGCCTGTGGGTGAATGAAATGATCTCTAGTTTTTCCTTTTTTTTTTTTTTTTTTATTACTTTTTTTAACTACGTACGTATTCG